TTTGGTGATTCAAATGGCCTGTGTTTGGCTGACAGGGCATCGACACCTTTTGCAAACATCGGACTGTGTAGGGATTCTTTTCGATTTTCACAACATAAACTTTTTAATTTGTTTCAATCTTCAAAGTTTAAAGTTAATTTTGTAAGACCGCTCTAGCAGCTCTCGTCTCGCTCTGATTGGTCCAAACGCTCCACGCCGTGCAAGTTACAGACGTCGCACAGGTGGGAGGAGCTCACGTGAATTTAGGAAGTAAATGCGGAAGTGAAAATTATTTTTTTTTAGGCCTGTGCGCCAATGAGCAGAGGTTCACCTTCCAGATTTTATTATAGCGCTACGGTTCCCTCGTCTTTGGTCTTCTTCTGTCAAACCAAAGCTCGAACACTCTCAAACAGCAGTAACATAGGCAGCATCTAGTGGTGATACGTGAGAATGCAACGCGGCCAGGTCAGCCAGTCTCACTACGGATGAAAAAACAGTTTAACAAATCTCAAATTGCATAAAAAAAGGGAAAAAAAATTGAAATCGCCGCACCAGTTCATTGCCGTTCTCCAAACAAAACAGCATGAATGTAACTTCGAGAGCACTGCATGTGGACAACAGTCATTCAAATGCGTCTAGCCACGTGATCCAGTGTCCTGCGATGCTCGTGGTAGCTTCTCCAAACCTATCTTCTGTCAGCGTTTGGCCGGTGATCCACAATGTAGGAAAGAGGAGAAGCACTGAACTGTACACACATGCAAAAATACCCACGTTTTTCAAAATATATCATGGAAACTACCAGCACATTGCTCAGAGATTGAGGACTTTTACCCCACGACTTTTGCCTGCGTTACAAGTCGACGAAATGTACATGAGAGTGACACAATAAAATCCACAAACATGATAATCCCAGTAAAAATATTTTTTAGTAAGGATTAGTGTATAATACAGAGGCGGAGACTAAGTTCTTGGCATTTCGTTCAGGATTGGTAAAACTTCAAACGTGATTTACAAAAATAATTAAATGAAGCCAACTCTGTTTTCCAATTTACTTTTTTTTTACCTGGACAATGGAAAAATATATCATTAACAGAACAAAAAAAAAGCGTGAGATGTTTAGTAAGTACTCATTACATTTACTCAAGTAACTTTTAAAGAAATTGTACTTTCCACAGTCCTTTTCTAGCAGCGTACTTTTACTCCTACTTGATTTATATTTTTATTGAAGTAACAGTACGTGTGTGAGTAAGTCTACAAAGGACAAAAGCTTTCTGTTGACAATATCAAATGATGTGAACATTTGTGTTTCTTGTTTCGCTCCTTCATGACATATTTTTGTGTCCATATCAGATGTTATGTCCAGACGATTACTAAGTTACTCTTACTTGAGTAATATCTTGGACCTCTTTGTACTTCTACGTACGCCTGTTGACAAAAATTTTGATCGACCAGGTCACGAAGCATCACATGGGCCCCTCTTTTAATATAAATTAATAAGAAGAGTCCAATTCTGGGTCCTTAAAACCTGCAGCCTGGGACAACAGATCCCAGAAGTAACATAAGTAACATTACTCTTACTGAAGTACACTTTTTGTCTTATCTACCCACCTCTGACCAAAACTTATTATCTTAGGCTAAGTTTAGACTGCAGGGCTTAATGCTCAATTCAGATTTTTTTGTGAAATCTGATTTTTTTGCGAGGTCATTCACGTTTCCAGTTAAATGCGACTTGTATGTGAACTACAGTGTGAACAGTAAACGGCCCGAAAGTGTCCGACATGCAGCGAGCGTGCTCAGTGTTTACGGAAGTCACTTAAACTCTGTCTTGTCTCCCAAAATATGGTCCAGTTATTTGTAAAATGGACGGTTACATGCCCACGGCTGGTTTGTTAGTTTGAGTCTTTAGACCTCCTTGTATTATTTTTCATTGACATTGGAGCCAGACTTTCTTTAGCAATCATTTAAAAAAACACCCGGTTCTGATAAGACCCCTCCAAATTGGCCTGAATAAAGAGATCCCCCCAAATATTTCCCTCCGTTGACGAGACTCTGAGCCTGACATGTAGGTGGGATGAATGCGACCTGACCGTTCAGACTGAAGTCGCATGTCAAAAGATCAGATATGTATCGGTTTTAGGAGCACATATCCAAGTGTCCTGGGTCACATTTGAAAAAAATCAGATCTGTGTTGTTCAGACTGTCATTAAAAGATCAGATACAGGTCACATAGAGGCCAAAAAATCAGATTTGGGTCACTTCAGGCTGCAGTCTGAACGCAGCCTTACACACAAATCAAATAAATGAACCTTAAATCAATCAATATAAGCTACACGTACTTTTCGAGTAAACCAAGAATTATAGACATACACTACTTTATCCATGAAAACCGCCCCAACTTTGAACGAAATGCCAAGAACTCCACGACTCCCTACAAAAGTGATAGATAGAGTTGGCTTGGTTTACACTGAGGGCGAAGTGAGAGAACAATGGAGCCTCCTGCACTGATATGATGTCACGTGTTATATGCATTAGTCAGTAACATGCAAATGACTTCAGTTTCAGTTTGGTTAAGGCTGCGTGTTATCATAGAGGAATTACAGTGTACACGTTGGAGAAATCCTGACCGAACCAGTGAACTGATGGAAAGTAGGGTAAACTCGAACATCGTCAACATAGCACGAGAAAACATCAGGGGTAGGTCCAACTGGTGACTTGTACAGTACATATTATAATGCTAATACCAAATCCGATTGATACTTTGCAGAGACGTCGCGCTGGGGGTGCTCTACGTGCAGTTACCGTGGTGACACAACGCGCACAATAGCAAACAGAGCCAAAAAAGAGCTTTAAGATAGTGTGAAAACTCAAGAAAAAAATACAAAATGGATTTAAACTACACATTTTCAGGAGCCTGTGATCAAAACGAGCGTTCATGGGCCTGTTTTGGAGTTCGAATTTCAACAAAAAGAGAGGTAAGAGTTGCCACGTTTACATGAGAGCTTTAATTCCGATTCTGAATAAAAATTAATTCCGCTTTAAAAAGACCATGTACACACTTAATTCCTAATGAAAATGATTATTCAGAAGTAAGTGGGTGGTTTAATTTGATTAAAGCCGAATTAATTTATTCCTCGATCATGTAAACGTTTATTCTTTTTAAAAATAATTTCGGCGGTTCAGTTCATGCTCGTTGTGTCGCCCTTCTTACACGATCCGGACGATCTTCGCTTCGGACTTTCATCCACGTCTCTTTGGATTTGCGAGCGGGATGCGGGAGAGGCAGAGCAGCCTCATACTCAGTTTGTCTTCTTCCTCCCTTCTCCGACACTCTTCCCTTCTCCTCCTCAGCCGACAGACGTAAAGCGTGACGCGAGAATTCTCCAGCTGCTGCTTCATTATCATCGGAACAACTGCGGAAAAAGTTTGGATCGCGTTTGTGTCCGTGGCGTAACGACAAACCGAGATGACGAAAAAGCAGCTGAAGTGTGTGTTTTCTTCCGGTCGACGTAAATACGTTCGTGTCTCTGTCCAATCAGAACTCTTCCCCACCCCCAGACATTGAGCGGAATTAAATAAAGATGATTTAACGTGTTAACTCGAAGGAGAATATTTGAATTCCGAACTATTTATTCATAGCAATTAATTTGAAATAAAAAAAAAAACATGTAAACGTGGCCACAGAGTGTTAAAATAAAGCTCAGATTAAAGTCTAATTTGTAGGGACGTAACAATAACCGAAATATCGTGATATCGTATCGTCAAAGTTCTCACAATATATCGAATTACAAGTCTCTTTGCTTAAATGAAAAGTTATGGTGCAGCAGTAGCTAAAAAAAAAAAAAAAAAAGACAGAGGGAACTACATAGACCATGATCCTTTGCTCCATTTCAGTGCAGACGACAAGAAGAAATAACACTTCTAAGCACTTTTAAGTCTTAGGTGTTTGAATTACGTCTTGTCAAGGCATTTTATGAGGAAAAAAGTAGCATATGAACAGTTTTGTTTGTTCGCCTCCACAAAATATCGCAATAAATATCGTACCGAGAGATTTGGATATTGTTACATCTCTAATCGTGAGCCTCCCCTGCATATCGTGAGCTTTCCTATGATATCGCAATAAATATCGTACCGTGACGTTCATACCGTGACGATATCGTAACGTGAGACTTGGATATCGTTACACCCCGATTAATTTGAGCACCAGAGCTTGAGAATGAGTAGGTCCTCCAGGGAATATCGATGATATCTGCTGCAAAGTATCAATATGATCTTTATCGTGACCGGTTCGCTGTGGCATTCTCCTAAAAGTGAAGCGAGCACAAACCGTCGGCGTGTTCCAGCGGTCGTCTTAACTCTGTCTGATATAGAATAATAAATAAGGACGTGGAACTGTGAGCCGCTCGTTCTGCAGGAGATTTGACACAGTAATGAGACTGGACTGTGGCAGTATCTGGATATGTCGCTTTGGTGATTAACTGAGGTGCAAAATAAGTGAATCCGTTTGATAAAAATGAAAACGCCTAATATTTGCGGTTGTCTAAAGGCCCTGTGCCCAGTTTTGAACCATGAGCGAGGAACATGACACAGTTTTTAGTCCCTTTTGTGACCAGTGGTGGAAACTAACAAATGTTTAAGTACTTTTGAATTTGTATTACTTAAGTACACTCCTTTGTACTTTACTGTACTTTACTTTAGACTTTTACTTCACTTTGTTTGAGAGCAAGCACCTGTATTTTCTACTCCATTACTTTTTTAAACTGGACTGCAAATTAGAAAGTAATTTTCTTTATGCTTAGAGGCATCACAACTTTAAGCAAATCCAAAAGAAAAGAAAAATAAACATGGATTCAGTTATTTAAAATCAGCACAATTTGTTACCAAGATGACTACAGTGGCGGCACGGTGGCTGAGTGGCTAGTGCTCATACCTCACAGCAAGAAGGTTCTGGGTTTGATCCCCAGGTCGCATGAGCCTCTCTGTGTGGAGTTTGCATGTTTCTCCCTGTGTCTGGATGGGGTTCCTCCCATCAACCTGAAATGTGCTCCAGGTCCAGAACAGTTGATAGTCAAGGTCAGTTAAATACAATCAATTCAATCAAGACACTTCACCCACATTGCCTAATATGAAAGTGGGGTGTGAGTGATGGTTGTGGTCAGAGGGACCAATGGTGCCAATTAACATGGCAGCCATGCTTCTGTCTGTCTGCCCCAGGGCAGCTGTAGTTTACCATCACCAGGTACAGAGTGAATGAATAATGCTCTGTAAAGTGTCTTTGTGACAAAAAATGTCTGTGAAAAGCTCTATATAAATAGGGACTGACTTACTTAAAAAAAGTACGCTGATTAAAATTGTTTTGCGTTAGCTCTTTAATAATGCAATATTTTTTGACAGCACAAATTTTAACTAAAGTGGATTTTTTTCATGTGATTCTTTTACTTGAGTATGTTTTTTTTTTTTTGTTTGTTTGATTGTACTTAAGTAACAAATTGTCGTACTTCTTCCACCACTGTCTCTCGCTTCAATATTGTATAACAGAGAAACTTTAGCACCTAAATGGACTCAATTTAAATCACTTTATGGTTCTCAACTTATCAAATTCCAATTAAAATGCACACATAATTGCTAAGAAGTAAACATTAGGTACAGGCCCCTGAAGTATCCAACCTGTCATATTTAAAAGGGGATATGTTGAACTACACGTATTTTTGATATGCCAAAGCTGATATAGATGCGAAAATATTAGTACGATACGATATTATGAACTCCATGCATTTTTCAAAACTAAAAAAACTGGCTCCTCACAATCTTGCGTGTTTGAATGATGGAAAAATGCCTATATATAATCATAGTTAATGAGTTTTACCCTCATACAAAGCCAACAGTAGCTTGGTGATGTAAAGAAGATGGAAAAAGAGGTGATCCCGAATAAATGAAATAAAAAAATAAAAAAAAAGCGAATCTTAAGTGAAGAGTTGAAACAAAAATCCAGAACAAGGCACAGAATTTTCTGCAAATGATCGAGCTAAATCAAACTTGTATACCAGCAGTTAGAAGGTGTAATGTGAAGCTTTTCTACAGTGATATCTGGCAACCGTCCCCACCCCGTTTTGACCCCAACTCACTCCCGCCCACGTTGTCCTTTGTTGAATTTTTTTTTGGAAGTTTTTAGTTTTTTTTTACATTTTTCAATCTTTTTTTATACACACAAAACATTCCATCTACATCTGCGGACTAGACTAAACAACGGCTTTGAACAAGGCCTGTCCCTCCGAAGCGCCATGTCTCCTGGCCAAACGTGAACCTGAAGCGAATCCCTTCTCCTTCTCTCCTTTTTGTCCCATAAACAGCAGTTAGTGTGAGGCGGAGCACTCAGCAGCAGCAGCAGGGGGCGCTGTGATCAAATGTAGTACTCCTTCTTCTCGTCCGAGTTAGAGTGTCCTCCCTCCGCGTTGATGATGGCCGTGTCTGCGTCTGCCGCGTCGTCCGCTCCTTTGGCTTCGTGCGTGAAGTATGTTCCTGAGGAGAGAAGAGATAAAGACAGAAGACCGTGAGGTTTGGAGACGCTCAAAGTTTCTAAAGTCAGAAATTGGACTTCTCAGAGTACTTTTCAGCAATCTAGTGAAGGTGTATACAGTTCAGAAACACAGTGGAGAACTTCCTGTATTACATGACATCACAAGGTGCTTTCTGTTTGAGAGAAGAACTCCCCTTTCTTACGTTTAGGCACCCTTTTTTCCCCCTGTTTTTTTAATTGTCTATTTTTTGTAGTATTTTTCCTATTTTTGTTTTTGTAAATTATGTTTTTTGTAGATGTTTAAACTTCCTTTTTCTTTTGCTCCTCAATTCAGCCAGGAGCCTTTAAATGTGCAAGCCCGGCACTCCTCCGCCGGTCGCTCACCTGTGCTGGAACGCTCACGCCTCTTGCCGGGGAACTGCCTCGCTGGCTCCCCTGCTCTTGTGGTTTGTTAGCTTTGTTAACCTAGCTTTTTTTTTTTTTTTTTTTTTTTGCTTTGCCCTGGTGGATCTGGACATCCAGGTTTTCATTCTTTTGGTTTATGTAGGGATGTAGGGATAGTTTTTTGGGAGGCACAGGTTAAGGGTTTTGTACAAACATATACAAAGTAAGAAATAAAAGAATATATTCAATATCTCCTTAACTTTGTTTTCCTTGTCCTTCCTAAATATGTTTTGATCCTTGGGTCGTAACATCCTTTAAATACGCAGGGTTTGTTTCCTTTACAGGTAACTCGAGGTATGATTGTAATGAGGAAACAAAATTATACCATAGATCACAAAATAATTATGGACCCTTTTAAAGCTAACCTCATACCAGTTTGATATGTGCGTCACTCTGAATTGAGTCCTACACATTGACGGAACGGTGCTCGGAAAACACTGAGCGTTAGGGCTGAATGATTTTAAGAAAAAATTGAATTGAGATATTTCTGTCAGACATTGCAATTTCAATTTCATCCACAATTTTCTTTTCAAATCAAGCTTCAGTGCACATGAACATTTGCAGACATCAGAGAAACTTACATCATACCAGAGTCCTGCACCGATGATTTAATGCTGGACCGTAAACTGGGCTTTACAATCCAGCACCAAACCATCTGCCTCACGATGCAGAGAGTCTACGTCCACGTGAACCCCCTACGCAGACCGACGTGCACCTCCAAAATTTTCTAACTACATGTCAAAATGATGCAGACAGCACTGAGAAGCGACACAGACAATAAGGGCTGTGATTGGTCCTCTCTACCACCGCTCTACAGACATTTCCTGTACTCCGCTTTCCTTTCTTTCAATATACATTGAGTAATAATGTGTTTAATTCAGCTTTGTGCATGTTTGTTTACGTTTTACAGAAACAAAACTTAAAACCTCATTGCTCATTTGCATAAACTATAAGCACTGAAAAAAATAGCTCGCTCCTTGTGCCCTCATGCGATTCAGGTTCTGTCGGATTAAAGGACACAACTCAGTGGAATATGAGCGTTCTCTCTGTGACAGAGGATGTGCTGATGATGGTGAGTCTGTTCTGTGCTTCTATCTATGGAGATGGTTCATGTTAAACTTTACACAAACGCCAGGTTTAAATCTTCACCTCCTCATGTTGTGGCGGTGAATTACTTCATGGTGCATAGACCTCGACACAGATCCATAAATTGGGCTTTAGGAGCAGTGCAAAAAAAAAAAAAGTGCCTCATGACAACTTTTTGAATCTGATTGGTCGAAGCATCACAACAGCAGAACAAGCTGAAAAATCTAACTTGAGTTGAGAGTAGAGCACAGGTATCTTCTCTGTCCACAAATGCACAAAGAGCTTTTCTTCTGCATGCTTTTCACAATCTAAATAGTCTGTCTTGCTGCAAAAATAGGCTGAAGTATCTGTCAGCACCACAATGTTTCTTTTGGTTCGTTTGAGCACTTTGTCCAATCCTTAGCTCCGCTCTGTGATTGGTTGCCTACCACCTGTCGGGCCCCATCACAGCAGTGGGACCAAGATAGACTCACAAATATCACGAGGATCCATCTTGTACATGGTTACTTTAAGGCCATACTGTGGAATATTTCAGGCAAAGCATAAAGGCAGTTTTGGTGTGAAGAATGTAACACAAAACCTGTCATCTGCAGTAGTAACACAACCTAAAACACCCTCTTAAAATGCTTTATTCTCCACTCTAAGCCCAGATGCGTCTCCTCCCTGGGCCCTCGCAGCTCTTTATGCAAATGGACAAAGCACACACCTGAAGCTGTAATATTGTGTCTTTCTCTCACTCAGACCCGCACAGGAAAACCACCTCGGAAATGATCAGGAATGAGCCAAAGAGCACTACTGCACCTTCAGATTAACCCCGTCAAATCTGTCACCAGAAGAAACCGCCGGAAACCCACTTCAAACCTCATTTACAAGATTTATTCAGCTACTATCTCGGCGGGGGCTGATAATAGACGCAATATTCCACATGAAAAGATGAAGCAGTCTGTACAATATGGGAAATACACGCTTAGTTTAAAGAGAATTTATACATTTTTTAATAAAGTCGGTTTTCTCGTTCACTTGAACCTTTTTTGCTGTTTTTACCTAGAAATATAAAGGTGTAGTACAAGTGGGCTGATTATAAAGATATAAAGTACTTAAAGGTCACAAACGGGCTGCGGTTTAAGAAAAAAAAAAATCGAATGTATCTATTCTATATCTATATTTTGTTTACTATATTCCTATATTTGTCCATTCATAGTTGTGATGCCTTTAGTGAGTATTTACAATGTAAATTATCATGGAAATAAAGAAACTGCATACATGCACTGGGCAAATAGTTGCTGAAACGGGGGGGGTTTAACATTCTGGAATTTTACAGGCAGGTATGTGGGCAGGTACTGATTACACAAGGGCGTTTCAGGACTAAATCAGGACTAAACCAGAACTACACCAGGACTAAAGCAGGACTAAACCACTGGTCTCATGACAAGAACTCCCTGAATCAGTTGGTTAAACCGGCGAGTTTGGTGATTGTCCGTCCTCAGCACCGCCTGAACTCTCTGTACTCAAGACACTTACAGAGGACATCCCAGACTATTAGAAAAGATGTGCAACATCCACTAAACTCAGAGTTTCAGCTGCTTCCCTCTGGTGAGAAGCTTTAAGTCCCAAGATCTAGAATGAATAGTTTTAAAAGGAGCTTCATTACAGCCGCTGTCACACTTATGAATAAATTGTGATCTATTTCTCTATCAGTTTTATTATGTTTTTTTTTGAAAAATCATGTGTTTTTATATATTGAATATTTATTGTGCTTTTAGTCAAGCGTGATGAATGAATTTAACTACTGTATTTTCCGGGCTATTAGACGCGCTATTAAGCCTCCAACCCCATCAAAAAACGACCGTGGGCCCCACAGTCCAGAGCGCCCTAGAACACGTAAACACACACGGAGCAGACAGCGACCGTGCAACGAAAAACACCCGCAGACACACTCATCACTCCACGCCGACGAGGAACGTAACGGAGGAACGAACCGAAAAAATTAGCGAAATGTGCCACTTCTAGACACGACTGAACAACTGAGACACTGCGAACACGCCGACAATCCAGCGATCCCAGACACACCCTCCCTACACACCACAACTGAACAAAGCCCAGAGTCACCGTGAACGTGACAAACTAACAAAACCACTCACCCATCACACTGTTGTGTTTCCTTTAAAGGCGGGTGCGGTTTATTTGTGAAAAAAAGTTCGAAAATAGACCATTTAATGACAGTGCGCCTTATAATCCAGAGCGACTAATAGCCCGGAAAATACGGAAACTGTTGATGGAACAAACCATTCTGCACTGGAGCACTGTGACATTGTATTTTGTAATTGTGTGTTTATGTGTGTTTACAAATTTAGCTACAAATAAATCAGCCTCACCTAACCTCATGCTGGACTTGAGAGAGAGAGAAAACCCCAAGCCCACGGAGCAGGGAGTCCACGAAGTTCGATCGGGCGACGGCTGCGCTTAGCTCCAAGGAGCGCGGTTATTTCACCCGCGGTCACCCGACAGTCTACGCTGGCGCACCTCAGGTCCCATCCCGACAGTAACTCCTATTTCAGTCCTGGTTTAGTCCTGTTTTAGTCTTGTTTTAGTCCTAGTTCAGTCCTGGTTTATTCCTCCTGGTTCCGTCCTGGATTCAGTCCTAAGTTAGTCCTGGTTTAGTCCTAGTTCAGTCCGTGGCGTGTGCGGCGCAAAAGTCCGACATCTCGATCAATCTCTTCTGCTCAGTAAATAAAGCCTGTGAAGTGATGACGGATTTTTGACAGTCGAGTCGCGTCTGTGAATTCGTATTCGAAGAAAGCGTAAGTGTTCCATTTCATTTCATGATTGTAATTCTTGAAATCGTAATAAACGCTTCAGTTAGAATGTTTTAACTTTGATATAATCACGGTTCAATGGACGAGTGTGGGCCTCCAAAAATGGACCCATGTAGGATTCTGCTACACACAGTCTTACCTTTGTGTCTTGCAAAGTATCGCCCCAGGACAATGAGTAGACACAGCATGGCGAATACGACTACCGCCACCACTCCTCCAATCACCGCGTGGTCCACTGTCCGCGGAGCTCCCTCTCCAGCTCGAGAATCTGTCACAAACAACACACACAATCATCAAACTAAGACCGATGGAGACTGCAAAAGATCTCACGTAAAGTCTCTCAAGAATGAAGTGGGGATGCATTATTTTCATTTGTTTTGGATTAGAAAGTGTTACTTAGAAGATGAAGCGATTAAAAGTGGTTAAGGTAATGAACAGATATATTGACAATGGATTCCTGCAGTAGCTTTGTACACTATGTAACTTTTCTTAGACACTGGTTTCCATGGAGATGATATTGCTTTAGTCTTATGTTGCACTTTTCTAGACGCTCAAAGCCGATTTACATTTACGTTCATTCGCTCCACACTCGGTGGTGGTGAGACTGGCAGACGTCCAACCAGAGGTGAGGACTTGTAAGCTGTGATTTGGAATCAAGTCAGACTTGAGTCACTATTTTTAGGACTTGAGACTTGACTTGATAAAATGGACTAAGACTTGGACGTGTAGGTCAATGACTTGAGACTTGACTCGGACTTGAGGCCTGTGACTTGAGAAGTACTTTTAAATCTGAATTCTTTCTATTCTGACCGTAATGATTCACACTAAGATCTTGTCAAGACATTTAAAAAAGAAAAATGTGCATTTCTACAGCTTTTATATACTCTATAAAAACTCATATATAAATATAGTATGATTTTTTTAAGTGCAATTTATCTTAAAAGTGATATAAATTGCAAAAATCTAAGCTATATTTGGTACTTTGGTTTAAAGACTTGAAATGACTTGAAGCTAAAAGCAGACGACTTGGACTTGACTCGGACTTATGGGCCAGTGACTCGAGACTCGACTTGGACTTGCCTGTATTTGACTTGGGACTTGACTTGGACTTGGGATCAAAAACTTGGGATTTAGTTGAGACTTGCAACAACGACTTGGTCCCACCTCTGCCTCCAACCACCACCAACACTTTCATACTGCACAATGTGGGTGAAGTGTATTGCCTAAGGACACAACAACAGTTCTCTTGGGGGCAGGCAGTTGCTCAGTTGATAGAACGTTTGTCCACTGAATCCTGCTCTCGACGTAAAACAAAACTGGTTGAGTGGTCCGACCCGCTGACCCACAGGTTGGTGCGATTCTAGCTCACACTGTCGAATGTTCTCGTTGTGTCCTTGGGCAAGACACTTCACCCACCTCGCCCCCCAGTGTCTGCGTACACTGGTGAATGCATGCGTGTGTGAATGTGTGAGTGGTTCCTTGTAGTAAAGAGCTTTGAGTGTCTTGAAGGTGGAAAAGCGCTGTATAAAAATGTGACTATTTACCATGTGACCTTTTTGCCACGAACACACCACTGTGACTCTTGAACACTCGGATGGAAAATCGCTGGTGTCATCAGGCCCAGCCCTGCTTCGCTTCTAAGACCTGACTTTTTGAAGCTTTGACAAGAAAGTGTTGGCGTACAGGGAGGTTTGGCCCCCAGGGAATTAAAGAGACAGTCCAGGATTTTGGACATAGGACCTCATTTCCTAGTGAGTGTTGGAGACATGTGGAGACACTTTTTTAAATATTCCATCTAGTCCTTGTATTTGCAGAGGTCGCTGGTGCTAGACTAGTGCATGTCAATGACCATAGTTATCCTGACACTAAAAACAGTCTTACCCACTCCACAAAACACCAGAAGCAAATCTATTATTACACCAGACTGTCCATGTAAATGTCTGTGTCGATAGAATCATTTTAGAAGTAAAACCAACTTTGCATTTGAAGGATTTATGTCCGAGCAGCAGCAGCGAGTTGAATTTCCTGATACAAAGCTCGGCAGCGGCGGACTGATATATGAGAAAATAGTCCCTCAACATGCAACGATTCACGCGATGCAAGGTTAGTTTTATTTCAAACATTATTCTATCGACACAGACATTCACATCGGCAGTCTGATGTAATACTAGATTTTCTTCAGGTGTTTTGTAGAGTGGGTAAGACTTTTGTGACAGGATAACTAGGAAATGAGGTTCTATGTCCAAAATTCTGGACTGTCCCTTTAATAAGCTTGTTTATCTCCACAGACAGATTCTAACTTTTTTTTTCAGATCTGTGGAGGAGTCATTTCAAGGTATTATTATTATTATTATTATTATTATTATTATTATTATTATTATTATTATTAGCAATAAAACCATTTACAATTATGGTAAAAGTTTTTAAATTTCTGATGATTTATTTTTTTTTTTTTGCCAAAACGTTATTTTGAAAATAAAAAAGCTTGTGGACATCGGCCACCCGTGTGTGCTATGCATTTTTTCACTCTTGTCTGACTGCTCCTTGCATTTGCACCTCTACAAGAATTTTGGTGTGCGTTTTCTGTTTCTTTTGATACCAGAGTTTTAAAACCATACAGTGGAATATTCCAGGCAAGACACAATGTCAGTAGGTGCATAGCCCACTTTTGCTTTAATGTATTACCAACAATTACAGACTTGCAATAAGGGTGTAGGCAAGTATCTGGGATTGAACTAGGAACATTAGGCTTAGAGGGCAAATCTAATTAAGGATTCTGTTTAATGGAGTTTGCTTTGGGTGCTCCAGTTTTCCTCTGCAACCTGAAACATGCACATTATATAGACTAATCCTTCAGACCAAAATCCTGGTTCAAAATCTGAAAAAAAGCCAAATCTAGAATACAAATTCACAAAGTTTTTATCGCAAGAGGTTTGAACTTGGTTTTCACCCAACACATAATAGAATCACATGTCGTTCTGGGGATACAAAGTGGTATATAGGCCAGAGCTTGCACCACAAACGCTTGGAATAATGTCCCCGTGTCCCGAGAGACGCATTTCCACTCAATGCCATTAGCATTAAAACAAGGCTGAAAGATTTCAGCTAATATTTGGGACCATTATTTACAAATGAATTCCCGTCCCTCAGCTGCTAGTGGCTAATTAGTGTGTAATTGGTGCTAAGTATGTATAATGGGTTTTCTAATTTCATGAGGAAACTGGCACAAGCTAAAACTTAGAGAAAGATGTGATGCACGGACCAAGAAACTAAGTTAAAGAGGTCAATGAGCATCATTTTCAAAACATTGATTTAAAAAGGCCAGTACCAATTTTTTTCCCCCAATTATTAGAGTGAATTTGTCTTATACCAGTGCACAGCACTGTTGGGCATGTTACTTTAAAACTGTAATGTGTTATTTATGACTTGTTACTGTCATTTTAAAGTAATTTGTTACATTATAATATTACTGTATTTAAAATGTAAAACTTTACACGACTATTGCAGCACTTTTAAGTTAGTCTCACCAAAATAAATGTAAAGATGCTGAACGCCGTATATGGACTGAACCAGGACTAAACTAGGTCTAACAAAGTGCCGGATCAGATACTCAGATGTCCCAATCTGGTCCCGGGTCTGGTCCTGCTCTGGACCCAGTCTGGTCTCTGTCTCAGGCCCACTCTGGTCCCAGTCTGGTCCTGGCCTGGTGTCATTCTCGGTCTGGTCCCGGTCTGATCCTGAACCTGGATCAGTCCTGGTTCAGTCAGTATGCGGTGCAAAAGTCGGGAAACGTTTTTTCCATTTTTCATTTAAACACAAAATCGAAAACTGAAAAAAACCCAAACAAAAACTAATCATTAAAATAAAAAAATATCTTAAAATATTTAAATAGTTGTTTTTTTGTTTTCTTATTTTTGGTTTTATATTGAAAAACAAATGAACGAATGATACACGGATTCTTTTGTGCTAATGCCAAGTTACTAGACGCATCTGAATGTCTCGACGGTGGGTGCAGAATAAACTGAATAACTAACTAATCAACGAATAAGATCGGATAAGTGTCTTTATATGCACAAAATAAATCTGTTTATCAAAAACAACCGGTGATGTGGAAGCTAATTGGTGGATTTCTTTGTCTTTGCCACATAAGTTTGCCCTTTTTGCATAATTTTCTTTGTCAACAACTTCACAGGCATAAATCAGCGAGACATCTGCTTCCTCGCATTGGATAGAGCTGTTTACGTGACATTTCTACAATCTGATAACGACGGAAATCCGATAAGGATCAGATTTTCTCTAAAATATCCAGTGTCGAAGGCCACAGGCTGATCAACAAAGCTCAGAGGGCTGTTTGTCGTCCAAGGCCCCAGTCACATCCTTCAGAACTTAAGTGGCAGCTGTCGTGTTGCAGCGACTCTTTCTGAATAATCACCGAATTCTTTGAGGCTAAGAGGTCCTTGAATTGTTGACTAACGTGAAATTCCAGAATATTTGTACACACAGGCATTGAGGAAAGATGAATCACTGGTCGTGATGGAAGGTTATCTGGCACAACAAATAAACTGGAGTTATGTAGTGCTTGGACCGTCCAAAATACAAAGGTCCGACGAAGCTGAGACGCTCATATCTTCATGCGATAATTATTACTTATGTTTATTAAAGAAGAAAGCTGCAGTCGGCTCCCTCGTTCAAACAGAAAAGATTCTCAGTGGGAAGAATCGGGAGCATCAAAGCAGCACTGAACTGCACAGTGTGTGGTCTGAGCTCCTCTGGTTACTTTGCATTATAGAGAATACTCACAGCCAGTGGACCAGCCTGTGCAGTCTGAGCCCGGGGTTATTGTTCAATACATGAAAACTTGAATCGTATACTTCGAGGCTCAGTATTTTTTTATGTGCACAGTAATAATGTTCTTTAGTCCAATGCGGTTCATTTGATCTTCTAGTAATTTATGTTAGGTTATTATGTTATTTTTTTAAGAGCAAGAGTTTGTTTTCATACCAGTTTTGACTAGCAGTCTTCCTCAGAGTCACGTGATGTTGGTGTGACGTGTCTGGTCGGCTGATTTAAACAGGTTTTGGTGCTGTCTTCCTACCGGTGGAGGCAGTAAGTAAGTAAGTAAGTAAGTAAGTCTTTATTTATACAGCGCTTTTCAGAGACAAAGACGGTTTACAGAGCATTTTTCATAGATTCATTATTCTTTTTTCTCCAAACCTGGTGGTGGTAGGCTACTATTGTTGCTACAGCTGCCCTAGGGCACACTGACTT